TATGCTTGTAGAAACATGTAATCCAAAGCAAACAAAAACTCCTGAGTGATGAACACATCATAGCATTTGTTACATTTGTTACAGGTTTAGTTCCTGGTGACTGTTTTTCTAGTTCTGCAGGATTTAGAATTTACACTTTCAATTTCTAAACATTATCTTCACTTTGCAGATGGGATAGCTGGGCAGGAAGGATTTAAGTGGTGTGCCGAAGGCCACGCATGGGGTTGGATAAAGCAGTAAAAGGCTAGAATTTATCTGCCTGCATGTAAGATCCTCTTTTCTCTGTCACCTTGTTGATTGAAGCTTTTGGAGCACTGCCTTGGTGTGCAGTGTGCTGCTGATGCAGGCATTTTACTAGCTGTCAAACGTGGTGGTTGGGTAAGAATATTGAGGGGACAATGCTTGTCTCTAAGATGAATATGTAAAACTTGGATTTTACATGTCTTACAGTGCTATGTAATGGCGTGGCTTCTCGTTTATACAAGCAGTATGTTTGGAGTTCTCAACTTTCCTTTGGGCTTTAATGGGATGGAGAAGCGTGCTGCTTTATAATTTTTAACTTGCAAGGAAAGACGTAGGAGGGAGCACAAAGGAAGAAAGCAAAGTAATTTTAAATGGAAAACAAAGTTATGTTGTATGGGCATTATCAATTACGTGGGAGAAGATACTGCTCCGTCAGTATGTGCCATTGTTTGAATATGTTTTGCACTCAGATGGGACAAGGTCACTTGGTCAATAAGGAAAAGGTTTTGAATGGGAGTCAGTCAAACACCAGTTATCTTTTATTTTGGATATCTCCTAGGCAGTGCAATTAATAACTATGTAACTCTTATTGCTAAATCTAATAGTTCAGGGGAGGGGGTGGTGGTGGTGTTTAAGTTTTGGCTTCAGCTTTGTAAGGGGTAGGTACCTATTTTATAGTAAGATTAGCTGAACTTGATTGGTTGTTCCTACTGGATAGTTGCCTGGAACAACTCTGTCAGGTTTCAGGGTTTGTGTCAATCTTTTCATTTGTTTGCTGTTTGGCTAAAATGGGTAGATCACTTCATCACCAGAGGTGCAAATAAAACAATTTAAGGACTGCAAAAAATGTAGGTAGCTTTCCATGTTAGTAGAAACTACAGAAAATATTGATGGAATGCATGTCTTGGACTTGTTATTTAGAATTGTTGAGCCTTTCTTAAAGCTGAGCTCATTATGAGGTACTTACTGAAGAAAAACCATCATAAAAGTGACAATTTAATAGAAAAGTTTTTTTACTTTTTTTAAGAAGCAGTTTTATGGAATGGTCATTATGTCTGCTGTGGTTATTATGCATGGTTAAAAAACAGAAGCAAAAAAGAGAAACATTTACTTGTTTTCCCATTGTATGTTTCAACTGAATGGTGCCTTCTACTGCCTGCTTTATAATCTTCTATAGGTCATTTTTAACTATGCCAGCATAATTTATGTCATCTTAAAATAAAGATGTGCAGGTTTAAAAAGCTGTAAACATGCTAAGGTCATTAGAATTGGGATTGAGTGAAAACAGATTTATTTTTTTTTTAAACTTCTGGACTAGAAGCAATTGACAGCAAGTTAAAGGACTTGTTCAACTATATCATGTTTTATAGTTTAAATAACCCAAACTACACAAGTATGAAGTGTTCCTCCTCCTGCTTTTCTCTTCCCTAGTATAAAGGTGACACTTGGAATCTGTCTCAAGCTTTCAGAATTTTTTTATCAATGGTTTTAGCCTCAGGCTGAATGAGACAGGAAGGAGGAGAGTTTGGTTTTCCTGTTAAGAGCATCATGTTTAAGCAACAGGTATTTCTTTTATTAAAACCAGAAAAAATGTGAAGGTTCACATTTGTGTAGTCCAAAAGGATCAGTGATTTTTCCACAGTTGTCAAGCTTAATTGCACAACTAAATTGAGAACACTGTTTCAAGTACATACCGCTTTTCATTAGTTACTGTAGTACCTTATTTTATTTCCAAACCAAGCCTAAGCAACACGGGTGATAATTTAAGACTGAATTTCAGAAGCAAGTGGTGTTTCTGTGAGCATAGAGTAATGTTGAGGGAAGTTGCCAGGCAATTATCCCAAGACTGTTACGGGTTTCCTGACTTCAGCAGCTCAGTGTCTGCGTTGAGGAAGGAGTTACCATCCAGAACATAGTAGCCAGCAGGACTGTAGGGGACACATGTGAGGGATAGTGCTGGCTTGGGCTGTGTAATGGGGAGCTGTTATTCTATGCAATGTAACATTCTCATTCAGGTCAGTCCTACAAAACGGGCAGGATTTTGCCTTTTCTTTTTGGGTTTCTGGCTCTGAGCTGTTTGCTTTCTGGCTTGTCAGCATTGACAGTTCTTATATTTTAGCATTTTTTGGCTTAGCCCTTGTTAAGTGCATTTATTAACACAAGACAGTAGGTGGACAACTTTGTTGTCTTCTAGATGGTCCAGTCTGGACCTAACCACATACAGATGTTTTCTTTCCAGCACTGTTTTGCAGTTTCCTGTTCAGCACAGGGACTGTGAGAAAATACTACAGGACCTTGCAGATCCCTATGTGTCAGGTTGTCTGCCATTACCACTGTGTCAAGGCTGTGGGTCCAGCTTCCTTGGCTCTTCAGTTGCTTTGGAATGAAACAGGGCCTCTCTTCTCCTTCTGGTTCTTTATACCCTTCACTCCATAGTTTCTTTTAGGCCAGGACTTTGCTTTTCAAAGAAGTTACCTCTGAGCGAGTCTACTTTTCCTTGTGTGCAAAAACACTTCCCTAGAGCACTTGTACACTGCTGGTTGCTATATCTGAGCATGCATAGCACAACAGTGGTGAAGGGTGATAAGTAGGTTGAAAAAGCAAATTAAAAAAAGAAATTCCACATAACAGTTGTGCAGGATGCCTTAAACATCTGTGGAAAATATTACATGAAACGCACATAAATTTTCTTTAACTTCTTTTGAAAGCTCTTTTGAAAGGATTGATGCCCAGTATCCTGCTAGAATTGAATAATCTGATGATCCAAGATGGATAGGTTTGCTTTGACGTCTAGTTAGTGTATGCAAGAGTGTGTGTGTATGAGTGCTTTTCTGTGTGCAGAAAAATACACTTGTAAAATATGTTTTAAAGGGAAGGTATGACAAAAATATGTACATCTAATTGTCATGGCAAGAAGAAAAAAGATTTGCAGAAGCTTAATCAAAAGCTGCCGCCCTCTATTTCAGGATTTCATTAAATATTCTTATGTTATACCTAAATATTAGTATTTTGAGACCATCCGAATGCATGTTGTTCCAATTGTAATGCCTTTCAGAAGGCTGAACATTCCCCTTTTTCTTCATATAGGAAATCAACTCAAAAGTTAATTCAGTCTGATTCTATGTTTGTTTATAATAAATTCTTACAAGTGTCTGAAATGCTTTATGTTGTTGAATGGGCATGTTGTTCCCATGTCAAGAGTAATTGCATCCTTTAAAACCTAGTAATGACCAGTGTCCTGAAGAAACACTGTTATGGAAATAGCACAAATAGCATATGTCATATAACATTTTTTCTCCTGAAGAGCTCAGACTAGTTTGTGTCTTACAGTGAAACTGCAGAGCTTTTACATTGACCTGGTGTATTGGCTGTGGAAAATGCCCCCCTTAAAGCATTAATGCTGGAGTGGTACAATTAATCCTAAACAAACTTCTCTTGTTAATATTTGTTTTGCAACAAAGTGGCTTGCTAGTGATCCAGTAGGAAAAATGGTCAATTAGATGGCAGTATGTAGTGTAAAGTTTCAATTTGTCGATGAGACACTCTAAGTAAAACTCTTAGTAGTATGAAGTAGTAAGTACTGGAAGAACTAGTTGCATGCATCTGTGAGTCTAATTGAAACTGTAATAACCAGAGGCAAAAAAAGTCTGTTCATGCTGTACAGTTATGGTTTTGGTAAATAAATACTGATGTGTGTAGGATGGAAAATAATACTTTACATGTTTTGCTTGGACTGTTACAGTTTTATTTAGCTACTATGTTTGGTGTAGGTCATGTTACCTCTTTCGGCTTGATTTTCCTGCTGTCATGCACAAGGCTAATAGAGCACAGAAAAAACTGCCCATTGAGAAGAAATCAAATACTTAAATAAAAGAGATTTAAAATATCCTATGATTTAAAAACATGCAGTTAAGTCCTGCATTCCCAAGTGGAATTCATTGCCATTGCTCAGCTGCAGTGCTCCATGCAGTTATTTATATTGCCCCAGGATCTGTAAAAGTGGAGACTGAAACAAATCATTTTAAGTTTCTCCAGAACTTGTATTTTCTGGAAGAATGGGATGGCAGCTCTATGTTTTATTACATCAAAGATTATGGCATCTGTCACACAGTGCTGTTATTTAATGGTAAAGTCACGTCTGCTGTCATTAGTCAACTCCTTGATTGTCTTTTGGGTGGAGAGATGTTGCTAGTGGGTTTAGTGGTACCACAGATGCAGTCTAATTTATTGTTTAACTTAAAACTTTAAGTTAGATTAAAAGGAATTCTATCAGAAATATTTTACCTGTCTTATCAAAACCAGTATGATTTTAGGTGCAGATCTTTGAAAACTAAAAGTCTGTTTCTCATTAAACCAAACTTCTGTCTTGCAAGTTTAGTTAATTGTATGACTATAAAATAAATTCCTTAAATCTGTATCATCACATTCTTTGTTTGCTTATGTATTTATCTTGTTTATTTAAATTTTGCCAGAGTTCTGCTTGTGTTTTTACATTAGAGTTGCCATAAACAAATCTCAGAGGTAATGCATAATGGTTTGTTTAATTTAAAAAACAAAAAAAAAAACAGTGAAGCTGCCTAAATTGTAAAAACTGAATGCAAGAATGTGATTAAGCTATCCTGGGGACATCCATTCTAAATTTCCCGTGGTCTAATAGTGATGCTACTTCAAAATTGACTGGTTTTGCTTACAGTGCTTTTTATTCAGTGTATAACTATTTTGGAATCACATCTAACAATTTTTCCTCTCTTTTACAGACTGGACTTTAACATTCTTTTCATGAAAGAGGCTTCCAAGTAATTGTTTTATAATAACTTTTAGAAGAAGTTCTATGTAGCTCTTAATTTCAAGAGTGCTGCAAAAATGATTACTTCCGATCTGCCAGTACTACAGTGAGTATATTTTTCTCTATATATTTCACATCTTCAATTTTAAAAAGGTGGAAGTAAACAGAGAGGCGATTGTGAGGATAAAGCACAAGCTTGAGAGAAGTGCAGATTAGGGTGATTCTCTCAGGCCTCCTGTGTTGTCATATGCTAAAGAGCTGAATAAAAAAAAAGATAACGTAAAATATATTTCTTTATATGTATGGAGGTTTAACTTTGCTGTGAAAAGCAAAACAAGATCTTTGCTACTTCTGTGCTTCTGAATGTTGTGAGATTTCAGAGATGTGTATGAGTTTTAATCCTAATTGACCACATTGGTATATTCCAGTTGTGTATTCTTTTTCAGTGAGCTGGTTTTATTGTGCAAAAAGCCTTTAGCTTCTGCAACTGAAGACAGCAAGTGGCATTAGCATGTTCTGATCTTGCTGGGAAATGGGAGTGGCTTATACAAATGGGAACATCACTGTACCTGGATAAAATGAACTACCAGAAAGAATAGAGTGGAAGTCTGTAATGAGAGTAGCTAGAGTAAATCAAGTAGAGTTAAGAAAGGAATTTTAGAAACAGGAATAAAATGGAGCTTCATTTGATGTGTGGATTGACCTTGGCTGTCTGCCAGACACCTACCCAGCTGCTCTGTCACTCTCGTCCTCAAAAGGACAGGGGGAGAATACAAGAGGAAAAAGCTTGTGGGGCAAGATAAAGGGAAATCACTTACCAATTGCCCTCATGGGCAAAACAGACCCAACTTGGGGAAAATTAATTTATTGACAATTAAAAAAGATTCGGATGATGGTGAGAACCAAAGATAAAAACCAAAACATGTTCCATCTCCCCCCTGTGCTCTTCCCTGGTCAACTTCATCCTTCACTCCTGAGTCCTTGGCTCTCAGCCCCAGCATGGGTCTCTCTGAGGGCTGTGGTGCAGATACCTGCTCTAGTGCTGGCTCCTCCAGGGGCTGTGGGGTGTCAGGGCCAGGCACCAACAGCACCTTTTCCCTCCTGCTGCCCCCAGGGCTGGTCTGTCACCCCCCAGGCAGTCCTGGCTGCTCCTCACAGAGCCCACCCTGTGGCTGCCCCACTGCCACCACTTGCTACTTAAACCAAATACATGTGGTAATTTTCTGATGTTAAGTTTTTTGCTTGGAATAAACATATGAAAATAGGAATTACCACAGGGTATAAAAGAGCCTCAGTTTATCAAGGTTGAGTGGTGTTCCAAAACTAAGATTTCGGGTCCCTTTGAGAAATTGAATGCTTAGACAATTGTACAGTTATTTGTCTGACCTTAATAATAACATGCTCTGCATTGCAATTTTTTCTTATGTTTTCAAAACCTCTTTCGAAGAAACTTAATTTCTGCTGTGGGTGAGCATGTGGCTAAAGACAGGGATGACTCTGATAGGTAGCACTGAGGGGGGATCATCAGACATAGGGAGGCTCTGGTTAGCTTTGAGGGTAGTTGTGGAAACAAATTATCTTGGTTCATATTACCCTGGATGTGCCACATTCAGGAAGTGAGAGTGTGCTTATGAAATGTGCCAAGGACAAAAAACTGGGAGATTTTGTCACAGCAGTGGTAGGGAAGAGATATTCTTGTTCCTAGTTCAAGAAGCTAGATGGACTTATGAATGAAATATCATAGAGTTTAATGTTAAAAAGTGCATATTAATTGATTTGGTAACTGCACATGGTCTGAGAAACCTGAGGGACATGCAAGACGTAGGCGTATTCTTTAATCAGAAGATGATGGTGAGCCCCCAGTATTATGCAACATTAACAAATGAAAGAAAATATGTATGTTGTTTTCCTGGTAGAGCTGGGAATCATTTAATGCCACTGTGCGAAGTGCTGGTGAGGAGTCCTCATCAGTAATATACATAGTTTTGGTTGCTCATGAACAAGATGAGATCTATCTTTCTACAAAACAATCAGCAGGATTTGCATGTGAAGGTTTTGAGACTCTCTTGAGGGCTCAGAACATTGTCTAGTGTGGACAAGGTGTCACAGAAAATAACTGCTAATTCAGTAGGTCCCAGCCAGACTTTGATCAGAAAAGAGTCTGGCTAAGGGTTTAAAGACCTGAAGTAATCTTGGGTTTAGGGGTACTAGCTTCACACATTTAGATTTGGGAAGCCACAGTCTGGTTCCACGCAGAGAGCACCAAAGCTTGCTTTCTAGCTCTTAAATAAGCAGCTTTGAAGGGTTATCATAATCTACCAGTGTATATTTAATTTCTAATTTTTCATAACGTTTTCTAATCTTTTTGTCTACCATCTTTAAACAAAGTCTTAAAGTCAATTTGATATATTAATGTACTTTGCTTAGGACTGTATCAAATATTCCCTCCCAAATTCTTCTCTGTTGAGGGTACATGAAAGGAGAACTCTTTAATCTTTCTGGATTCACAGAAGTGACTTCAGAATGCAGTGAAGACAGGATTTCACTTATTGGTTTTTCAGATGTAGGGAAAGAACCTCTGGTGTATTTGACCTGGGTGACTGACTGTTACGAGTCTTCTCTCAATGGGATGACTCATATTTGCTGTGAGGCATGTTCCTCTTTAGATTTTGAAGTTCAACCATGAGAGCTGATTCATCCATGATTCATGAGCCTGTGCATTTAGCCATTTTTCTTCATGAATGCTTTTTTTCACAAGGCTGAGTCTGGTGGTAGCAATTACTGAATTTATCTCTGCCAGAACCTTGAGCACCTCAGCAACACCGATATAAGCTTATAGAAGCATTTTTATTTGCAAAACCAGATACATGAACATAGGTTTTTGGTGTGGTGTGTTTTTAAGCAGGGTGGTATAACCTCTATAGCTAGGGTTTTATGCAGTAGTAGAAGGAAGGTAAATTGATTTATTTTGCAGAAACATGATATTTACCGTGTCTGTGGAAATAGGTTCTTCAGAAGCATGACATGGTAAAGGGCTGCCCAGTAATCTTGTTAATTCTTCATTACCATTTGGTTAGTTAAAGTGGCTATAACTTTGGAATAATATCTGGAGTTTTTAGGAGGGATCCTGGAGTTACTGCTGGTTTTCTTAAGATACTTTAGCCACCACAGAAATGAGAAAGAAAAGCTTAATAAATCTGAGCCCCTAAAAGGGGTTCTCACTTGTCTGCTTTACTCTGCCCACCCCAATCTTGTAGGTCTCCCATACTCTGCCATGTTCTCCTATGTCTCTATCATGTCAAAGGTGTATTAGAGAGGAAAGGTTTAGCTTAGACACTGCCACCTCTCCTCTTCTTAGATGCTTAGATCCTTAGGCCCATATTATTTTTCCTCCCAACAGCTTCAGGAAAGATAAATTGTGACTAAGCCTAGGTTTTCCCCTTAGGTTACTAGTCATACACATGTAAAATAGGGGTAAGATAATTCTGGCCTATTAAGATGTGGATGTCTACCACCAGATAAATTACTTCCTCGCAGTTCTGCAAGATGTGTAGGGAATGAGGGAGATGGATGCTGGCCAGATGCTCTTCTCAAAGAGGGTTAAAAACCTGACAGAACTGCAGGCAGCTGAGAGATGCTTTACTCCTCTGAGATCAGAAATAAGAAGAGGAGGGACGTGTGTGTGTGTATCCAGAGCAACTGTAAGGCTTTGACAGAAGCAAAGAGCACTGCCTCCCAAACTGAAGGGGCTCAAGGCTGCAGTGCAGGAGTTGATTCAGACAGAATTCCCTGCTGCTTGAACTGATGTTTATTTTAATGTTAAATCAGCCAAGGACTGTAGGTTGTCCATAATCCTGTCTCCCTACTCCAAATCATATAAGGATTGAAGGGAACTTACTTTCTGATGTTTTCCCCTTACTCTTTACATAATCTTTGCTGGAAAGAAATCTCCTCTTTGCCTCACATATTGTTAGGGTGAGATTCATCTTATTTAATTTTAAACATTTGTATTTGAGTTGCTTGTCTAGATCACCTTACCATCAGTGGAGAGAGGGGAAAATTTATAAAACATAAACTGACCAATTTTGGACCCTGACCCTAGCATGAGGTATGTTGTACCTTTTCTGTTATCTCTGTTGCATATGTCTCATTTAAATTAGATGAATCTCAACCTTCATACTGATTCATTGAGCCTTTACGAAAAGGCTTCCAGCAAACTAGAGAAGTTTTACCAGAAAAATATTAGAGAAGCATGGTTATCAGGTTTAAGACAACAAAGAAGAGAAGGTGGTTAATAATTAAACTGTTCCTTGCATATGTAATGTTTCAAAGCAATTGAAATTTCCAGAGCTATATACACAAATCTCATTAGGTTTTTCTAGACCTGGACAGAGGCTGTACCAAAGTCAAGTTTTCTGTGGACTAAAGGCATATAAAATAGTACAGTTTATTTATACAGCTCTAGTGTTTCAAGGAAAGCGTTTGAGCCATTTGCCTAGGAGGACTGCTGAATTTGGTTTTGAGAAAAATCTTTATCCTGATGATATTAGGGGTGCGATTTTGTAAACTAGCAAAGGTACAGCGTTTCCTCAGGAATGGAGGTACTGCTTAGACTACACTATGTCTAAAGTTTTTCCGGTAAGGGGCTGTGTAGACCAGAGAAGTGTTTTTGTTTTCTACAGAGAGCAAAAGAGAATCACTTTAATTTCACTACAGCAATAGAAAACAGCAGATATTTTCATGGGGCTCCTCATTTATTCTAAAGTTATATAAAAAAAAAAAGTCATTGTAAGGCAATACACGTTTTTGTCAAATTGAGTTGCAATGTGATGGCTGGTATTTGAGTAAAGGCTGGATATGTCCATCCGTATAGACATTGTTTTCAGCCATATTCACCGCACTGTTTTTCACTAGTGTGGTCCTATTACCAAATAATTTTGAATTTTGTAGGATATCTTTTATTTGCTTTTAGGTTTTTTACAGATTTTTTTTTTCCAAATCCATAGATTGATACTGAGTTTTCAAAATTTTGTACTTATGAAGCAGAAAGCTATTTATCTTTGATTTTATCACAACAAAGTTGCATATTCAATATTCTGTAGAGATCCTGTTTTACAAGCATAGAATTTGGGAACTTAAATGTACTCGAATGCTGTTTTTTAATCAAGGATGCATGATTTTCTGGGGTGTGTAGAGTATTTGGAGATAATCCATTGAAGTTACTTTCACAAAAGGAGATTCATATATGTTCTTCATTCTAGCTTTTGTAGAGGATTCTATGGACCCCTTTGTGTATTTGTGCTTGCAAACTGGGAAAGTTGGAAATGATGTCTTAATATTAGAAATTCATCATAGTTCTGCAGAATTATTTGGGTTAGAGCAGGCCTCGAACAATACAGTAATTTTAGTAAAGAGAAGTATCAGAACATTCTTGATTCTGATACAATGATATTTGTATCTTTCTGAATTACTGAATATCTTTCTTGGTGATACAGCAAACTTGTGGACTATTCCCGATTTATAAAACAAACACAGAAAGCCCCCAGACAGTGTGAAAGATCTGTGTAGATCTTGGCTTGATTAAGTTTCTCTGTTTCTGTAAAACAGATCACCAGTGCTACCTTTTATGTTTGAGGCTGTATAAAATAATGGAATAGGTCTGATTTTCACCTTTCTTTTGCACAAGTGTTACAGCAATTTAACTCCTTTCACATCAAGGAAATGATACTGGATTTAAAGAAAACTCTGATTAGAGCTAGACTTGACCCATCTTTGAGTTATCTAGGACCTTATTAGAGTTACTCTTCCATTTACAGAGATCTCATGCACTGGTGGTCTTGCAAACTAAAAATGAAGCACATCAGTAACAGGAATGGTTTTTGCTTGTGGGCAAAATCTAATACCTCAGAAGATCAATTACAAGCTGTTTCTTCAAGCAGCCTGTTTTGAAGGCAGAGAAGTACTTGTGTACCTGGCTCTTGTGGGGTGGGTGGAAATTGTGGTAATTTTTTTTTTTTTTCTCTTATTATGGTCTTAAATCTAAAAGAGGAATGATAGAAAATTTATACTGTGGGCTTCTCTGACACTGCTCAATGACTATTAGCAAGGTTTTGTCATTGTATTAGTGAAAAAGGTTTTCTAACTGCAAGAATCATACATGTCTTCAGATCAAAGTGAGTTTTCTGGTTGGTGCCTCATGGTCAGTGTTAATCCCCTCTTTATTAACAGCTGCACAATACCATTGTCTTGGAGTGTGACCTAAAATCACAATGTAACCCGAGTGAGAACTTGTGTAACTGTTCTAATGATGTGATAGCTGGACTGGACTCCAGCTTACTTTCTCATGGCCTTGAAAGCTGCTGTAAGGTAGTTACCAAGAGTAAAAGAAAGTTGATACTAGTGAATACATTGTGGGATGGTTGTGTTGAGAATGTGCTGTTCAATGTAGCCAGTTTAAGTGTAACATGGTTTCAAAAGAAGCTGTTAATTTAAATAACTTCCAGTCTATAAAATGAAATTCCAGCCCATAAAAAGGTAAGGCTTTTTGCCAGGGCTAACAATGTTTAGTTCCTTAGTTTGCAGAAAATATGTGGCAAGCCTTTTAATGCTGACTTTTTTTTCTGTTTTAGGACTAAATATTTAATCAGTTATAGATTACTTGTTGATTTCAAATCATTTTAATTTATCTAGTGTTTTTCCCCCCCTAGGGATTCTACAAATGAAACTACTGCACATTCAGATGCTGGCAGTGAGCTTGAAGAAGCAGAAGTCAAAGGAAAAAGAAAAAGGGGCCGTCCTGGCAGGCCTCCAGTATGTGTCATTTAGTTTTGGTTTGTTGTGCATCTATTTAAAATTGACTGCAAACTGTTTTTCGTCTAATCATCTTGTGGTCACATAAATAGGCTTTTAATGAGCCCTATGTCAAACTTTATGAAGACTTGTAGAATGAAATATTTATCAGATTGATATAAAAACAATGTTTGGAGTGTTTAAAAAGGGACATAAAAATGAGCTCATAATAGCTATTTTTTCTTTAACTAGTTATACATGAACATTACACTTTTGTTATTATTGTCATATTACAACATTCTTCTGGATACAAGAATAATCTCAGTAAGCATGACCACTTTGTTTTGAAAGTTGTAATGAATTTTAAGCCATCCTTTTAGTAACTGATAATCTCTTAATGTGAACAGAAGAGTTGAAGCATAGTATTAACTAAATGCCTCAGAAGATCTATTAGCACATCTTAAAAATTAATGTAATTGACATACACTGTCCCACATACAGATTGAGAGCTTCGGCCTATTCTCTGTTATAGCGCAGCAGTCAGTGCTGCTGCCTGCTGTATGAGACTTGCTGTTCTTCAGTCGTCTTTGCCATTGCTGGCCCATCATTGGGAACATACAGAAACTATTCTCACATAGTAATTGAGGCTCTCTTATTTTCATTTATTTTAAAGAATAGAAAATGTATTGGAAAATGCAGAAAAAGTTCTGTGTATGAGGTTATCCCTCATTTTAGTTTTTCAGGGTCATCAGACACAGTTTTCTTGATTATATCACTTGAAGTACACACTGTGGATTTTTGGTGGGAAGTTCTGTGTGTTTGTTATTAATGGTTTTGATTTACTTCTTAGTCTTTGTATGTACGCCCCTGGTATGAATGTGCTATATATATGTATAGCATTAGTAGATTGAGATATCTATATATATATATAGATATATATATAGATATAGATATATATTTAATTACCCTAAGATCTCTACGATAAGACTGACTCCTCCAGCATGGACTAGTGAGTCTGTAAGAATGGACAGATCCATATGTTCCTCTCAAACGTGCTGGCCAAGCTTAGTATTGACTTTCAATTTTCATCAGTTTCTGGACTTATTTTGGGAGACGGTATTTTAATTCCTGGACTTTTTGGGCCATGTTGTCTTCCTTTTTGAAAGCTTTTGAACAGTGTTTCCTGTGATGGCATATATTCTTCTTCAGATGGACAGATGTGCTCACAAACATGGACCTTCTTTAGAGGAAGCTTTGAAGAAGCATGTAAAGAGAACAGGTCATCTTTTTATGTAACTTGCAAACAAAAGACAAAATCAGAAATTCTGTTATGGTTTGAGCCCAGAGGGCAACTGAGCACCACACAACCACTCGCTCATTCCTTTCCCTCAGGGATGGGGTGGAGAAAATAAAATGAAAGGCTCAGGGATTGAGATAAAGACAGTGAGGATTAACTCACCAGTTATGGTCATGGGCAAAAGACAGACTCAATTCAGGAAGAAAAATAACATCAGTTTAATTTGAACACTACCACTTAATTTTCCAATTAGAGTATGACAGTGAAAACTATTACCATATCTTAAAAACCATCTTCCCCCACCCCTCCTTTCTTCCTGGGCTCACCTTTGCTCCCGATTTCTCTCCCTCCTCCCCTCCAGCAACACAGCGGGGAAGGGGATGGGGGTTGTGGTCAGTTCACCACTTGTTGTTTCTGCTGCTCCTTCCTCCTCAGGGGCAGGACTCCTCACACTCTTCTGCTCCAGTGTGGGGTCCCCTCACAGGAGACGGTCCTACATGAACTTCTGTGCTGTGGGTCCTTCCCAGGGTGCAGCTCTGCCTGCACTGCTCCAGTGTGGGTCCCTCCCAGCACCAGACTGCTGCAGCGGGGGCTGCCCTCAGAGTCCCGACCTCCTTCGGGCACAGCCCCTGCTCCGGTGTGGGGTCCCCCATGGGCTGCAGGTCAGAATCTGCTCCCCAGTGACCCCCATGGGTGTAGGGCACAGCCTGTCCTCTCACCATGGGCTGCAGGGGGGGGATGTGTGTGTCTTGTCCAGTGCATCTCCCCATTCTCCTCCTGCTTTCTTCAACTGGCCTTGGTGTTTGCAGAGGTATTTACTTCACTTTTCCTCCTCCTCCAAGGTTCCCCTTCTTAAGTATGTTATCACAGAGGTGCAGCCACCATCACTAATGGGCTCAGCCTTGGCCAGAGCTGGGTGCTACCTGGAGCCAGGGGAGCTTTGAGAAGCTTCTCACAGGGGCCACTGCTGTAGGCCCCTCCCCTGCTACCAAAACCCTGTCAGACGCAAACCCAACACATTATCTTATGAATATCTCATTAGTAAATCTCTGAGTTTTTGTAGATCTCGTTAAAAAGAGGATGGTGCAACCTGTTTGCTAACTCAGAAGATTGTTGGAGTGAGAAGTCTAAGTTAAAGCAACATTAGTGCTATTTTGTACCCACACCTTCACTGGAAAGGAAAGGTGAATGTTACAAAAGATGTTTCTCATCCCTCTGATTGAGCTTATTAGTAGCTCTTGTGGGGTATTTGCTGAAGCACTTTACTGGTACTGTGGTTCTACTATGAAGTTTCTACATAAGCCAGTTGCTCATTATGCTTAGAATGAGTCCAGAGAAAGTGGCCGTTGCTTTGTATGTAAAATGATGGGCCGTGAGCTGCTAAGGAGCAAGACCATAGGGTTATCAGAGATGATTCCATGAAAACCTCATCTTAATGATCAGTGGGGACCAAAATAACCAAATCCAGTCTTAAAACTCTGAGGGGAGAGAATAGAGAATAAAACAAATACTGTGTAATTTATAAGACTGTAGTTTGTCAAAACTTGGAATACTCTGCACAATTCTGGTTTCTCTTTCCCTCACAGCCTCCACCCCAAAATCTCAAGAAGGATATATTAGGACTGGAAGAGGTTCAGAGAAGAGAAACAGCGTTGGTCAATCATGGAATCAGGCTGGGAGGGACCTCAGGAGGTCTCATTGCAACCTCCTGCTTGGAGCAGGAGCAGCTTTGGGATCAGACCACATTGGCCAGGGCTTTTCTGGTCTGATCTTGAAAACCACTGAGGCTAGAGACTGCACAGGTTCTCTCAGCAACCTATTTAATGAAAAATTACTCCTTGCAGGCAATCAGGACCTCTTGCTTCAGTTCATGACTACTGTCAGTTGTCCTCCCACTGTATGGCTCTGCAAAAAGTCTCACAGGGAAGTGTTCCCCAACTGGTAGTCCTCTGCTAAACTTGTTATTAATATCTCTCTTGCACTGAGAGGGCCAAAACTAGACATAGTATTCCAGATATGGGCAGAGATGCACAGAGTTAAAGGGTATCATCACTTTCCTTGGTGTACTGTTGTATTCCTGCTTGTGCAGCCCAGGGTGCTGATAGGCTTTGCTGCTCAGGCACATGGCTGCCTCACATCCAGTCTGCTGTCTTCTAAGACCCTGAGGTCCTTTTCCACAGAGCCTGTTTCCTAACTGGCTGGTCTCCAGCCTGTGTTAGTGCAACGATTTATTCCTCTGCTAAGGACAGGTCTCTGCATTTGTCCAGGTTGAGTTTTGGGTGTACTGTTAGCCCAGTCCTCCAGACTGTCAGTACCAGTATTGCCCTGGTGTCTTTAAGTGCTCTCCTTGCCAGTTTGGTTTCATTGGCATACTTGACAGAAGCACGCTTTCACCCCCTCCAGCTGTCTGATAAAGGTGGAAACTGGACGTGCTCCAGGTAGACTTCTGTTGTACTCCCTCAGTGCCAGCCTCCAGGTAGAGGATGATCCATTAACCACTGTGCTCTGCGCCCAGTGGTTCAACCACTTCTCCAACCATCTAGTCGTCTAGCCATCCAGGTCATAACTTCCCAATTTGGGTACAAGAATATTGTGGGAGACTGTTGAAAACTTTGTAAAGGCAGGATAAATGGCATCTGTTGCTCTCCTCTCACCCACAAATTCAGTCATTTTGCACAGTTATTTGGGTGACTGGACAAAATGTGTATGTTTAGATACACAATCAGACCCTGTCTTCATAATTGATACTGCTGCAACAGAAAGGAAGAAATAAGATTCTTGTATGAAAAGATGATCAAAAAGAAAAAAGCTACTCAATGACTGTTATCTTTGAGGAGAAATGCAAACACCATGGAAACTCTAATCTAGGCAATTAAATTGATAACATTATTTGATATTAAAAGTCCTGGATTCAGTTATTGAAGTACTGGCTTTGCAAACATTGTATTTCACTTTCTCTCCTCCTCCTCATTGCTCACCTATTCATCTTGCTAACCTGTCCAGTTTACTCAGGTGAATTATCTGTTTCTTACAGGAGGTGCAGCTCTGACCTTTTCCCCTTGCTCTCCCATCTGCTAATGAGATTTTTATTTCCTCCACAGGTACCACCTACCTATAGTCTCAGATGTGAAAGAGATTAAAATATGTAGTTAAATTCAAAGCTGTTTTTCTCAACTGATACTTAGCTTTGAAGTTTTTAATTTCTATTGTAGATCTAAAGAAAGTCTTTCCTGCCCAAAGGCTTTTCTGGTTTTTGTGGGGTTTTTTTCCTAACTAACATATTATGGTCTAATAAGATTTGATCTCTCCCTGCAAATGCTGATTTGCTTATGTCCTTAGGCCATCACAGCTACAGTGACACATCTACCATAAACATATTGACCTCTCTTGGAAAACTCTTCTGTTTTGTCTAGCTGCATGTTCTATTACAGAGCTGCATACAATGTACTCCATCAAATATATGTATGTATTTATTTTAAATAGGTTTCTGCTGTAGTGTTATAGAATGGACTTGACCTTTTATCAGAAAGACAGACTACTACTAGAGGATTTTCCAGACTCTTTTCCAAAGACAGACATTCCTCTGCAGATTTGAGACTTCTGTAAGGAGACGATCCTCATTTGAAAATGTCATTTGTACAAATACCCCTTCAGTTCATAGAGAATCATATTTTGGGAAACCTTCCCTTCCTGAAAACGCTGCTTTCCAAGTTGCCACTCCCCT